AGGTTAAGAGAAGTGCTATGAATCTAGATTTGAATCCAGATCCTCAGATACATTTTGGCCTGAATTATTTTTCTCAGCACAGAGGATAATTCTCCATGATATGAAGAATAAATTGTCCTGCCTGGAGGGGTTTTACTTTGTAATAGAAATATCACCCTGATTGATAGTAGCTTTGGCTTTTTGCGATCATCTTCTAAATGTTGTGGGATCAATACACTTTCAAATACTTATCCATTCACCAAGGCATTATCTCCCAAAACTTCTTTGTCCCTGCTTATATTTGTCAACTTTACAATCCTTTTATTACCAGCAAAAGCTTTGGGAAGCTACAAATAAAAGCAGGGATTATAAAAGGATTCTTATTAAAGCATGCTTTCTTTGAGGCACAGAGTACAATGCCCTCCGTTTTCCCCTTGTGAAAAGATGTGTTTTCTTGTTTAATTAGAATAGACCTCCATTCCATTAGAAGAGAACAAGAAGGGCAGCAGGACTGAGACTGCAGGCGCCAAGAAAAAAGGTTTATTTATTTCAGCATTGGTTAACTTTTAGAGCATATTTCAACTTGTGAATATTCTATCATACTTGGGAATGGATGAATACATGGAAACTCACCATATCCCTGCCATATAGTAATTGATCATAATCCCCATTTTGTTGTTGTTTTTGTTGTTCTTACTTTGCAATCAAAGCTTGTGTTGGAGAAACGCAAAGCCAAGTGCATCAATTAAGGTCCTAGCAAGAAACAGATGGCACACTCGATTTGGATAATTTGAGGGAAGCACAGTAAAGGGAGTTTGCAAAGATGTGTGTGGGATTAAATGAAACCACAAGGCATAATGCTGTACTCCAGTGTTAGCAACTGCTTCACTTACAGCAACAGTTAGTGAACTGTGGCCTAAGGGGTCAAAGCTGGCCTGCTACTTATTTATGAAAATAAAGATTTATTGAAATACAGCCACACACATTCTAACATCAGAGTTGAATGATTGCATCAGAGACTGCATGGCCAACAAAGCCTAAAACGTTTGCTGTCTAGCTTTTTACAAAAGCATTTTGCCACAGGACCAGGGCAAGGGTAAGGTGAATGAGGTGCTTAGGGTGTGAAACTTAAGGAAGTGCTGATTCTGAGACCCTGCCCTTGATAACCCTTCAAGGTGACTGCTTTCATAAATTCTGCTTCCTCACTTATTTCCCCTGGTGTGGGCCTGATTTGTGACCTGACGTAGAGAGCCTATCATGAGAAGGCTGTCCACCAAAAGCTACAGCTTTCCAGAGAGATGTGGACTACATGTAGAAACTATCACTATGGAGATGGGGAATAAAACCTCAATCTGCATCTCTTCCCACCTTTGAAGTCTTCACCTACCTCATCTATGTGAAAGTCACAAGGTGGAGAAACCTGTTGGTGGAGTCGGTAAAGGTCAGCATTGCAATAGAAGGGTTGGACCAGGAGAGAACAAGTAACCCTGAGCAAACAGGAGAAGGCAGGAAGGAGAATGGCAGTTAACTCTCCAGTTCACTAAAGAATCACAGGCTGGAAGGGACAGTGGTGACCACCCAGCTGAATGAAACTGCATGAAATTTTAGATCCAAGAAGGAAGTTGGTGGCCAGCTGATTTGATCTTATTTTACCATCTAGAAGTAGGAAAACCATACCAGATCTGACTTATACAAGAAAAGTATGGATCCTGGACTTCTCTACAACACAACTCACAATTATGATTAAAGGAGGAATCTGTGATGATTTATTTGAAGTCTGTTTTCCCCATAGCCAGCCTAATATTTGGCACATTGTAGTGGCTCAAGACATTTTTATTAAATAATCAAATTAGAAGTGTGTGAAAAATTTTACATTTAAAAGTATTTTTATATGTCTATGAGGTGAAGGCAATATGGGCAAATTGCAAATACAATAAAGTTACATGAAAGTCCTTTACCAAAAACAACTGGAACAAATAGGGTTGAAATTAGGAATTATTAAAAATGATACATACGTTATATCTTTATTTTAACACAAAACATGCTCACTTGGCCAAAAATTTAGTGAAATTCTTAGGCTTTTTTCAAAAAAAATTTACATTACATTGCTAAGGCTTTTAGGTTGTCTTTCATAAACCACACTCAAAATGCAATATCTTAGTTTCAGTTTTTTAAACAGTATATAGAACCTTAAGTGACTGGAAGAATAGTCTGAGGGCAGTTTTGTATGTTTCCATAATTTTTTATAGATTTTTCCTCAGTTTTTTATAGATTTGCCAACATTCTTCTCTTCATTGAATCTTTCTAAACTAGTCCATCTAATTTTTGCAGAAGCATATTTCCTTTCTTGCCCATAATACACCAAGGTACAGGATTACAGTTACAAATAAAACTAGAATTGACAGGTTTGGGGGTAAACCTAACGAATTCTCGGGCAAGCACAGCACTCAGCTGGTGAGACTGCTGAATCAAGGACATGTTGGAAAATGATCTACTTGCCATGAGCCTTCAGCCTTTATTAGAAGTGCGTTTTATAGGAAGAAGAGTCAGCTTTGGTTAATTTGTGAATTGGTTCAATGAATTATGTAAGAGAGATTCTCTTGTATGGAAGAATTATTACTTAATGTGTGAGTTATGAAAATGATCTACTTGCCATGAGCCTTCAGCCTTTATTAGAAGTGCGTTTTATAGGAAGAAGAGTCAGCTTTGGTTAATTTGTGAATTGGTTCAATGAATTATGTAAGAGAGATTCTCTTGTATGGAAGAATTATTACTTAATGTGTGTGAGTTATTGTGTGTGTGTGTGTGTGTGTGTGTGTGTTGCTAGGGACTAAACTCAAGGCCTCACACATGCTAGAGAAGTGCTCCACCATTGGGCTACACCTCAGGCCACATGCAGTATTGTTTGGGTCAAATGGAGAGGTTGATTCCTTCCTTGATCACTGACCTTTGCTTTTCAATCTTGCAAACAACCCAGAGCAATCATAAGAAAGACAAACTAAAACTGAACAGCATAATGCCTTGTGATTGGCCACAGTGAGGGTTATTATTCTGGACTCTGTCCAGTGGTTTATGCCCCCAGCATATAAATCTAATGCAGTCATGTGCTGGCAAAAAAATGCACCTTTTTCCTCTAGCCTGATTTTTGTGAGATATCTTGGATTCTGCTTCAGTGGTGAGGGAAAGGAAGGATAAGTACAAAACAAGATTTACCAACCTGGGGGGTGAGTTAAACTGAAGAGTGGAAACCAGGTTCTAGTCCCTTCTTGGAGGAGGTGTTCTATATTGAGAAAAGATTAGTCATCAGGAGATTTGTGCTCCAAATTTAGCCCTGCTAACTGATAAACTTTGTGATCTCGGGCAAGCAGGACACTTAAACTTTATTAAAATTATCTGCAATGTAAATAGTAATTATTCAACATGTAATAAATAATATTCGTTTCATATCTATCTAACAGGAATGCTATCTCAACTGAAAACATAAATGTAGTATATAAGCATTAAACATGACCTTCCCTCCCCTTCCTTCCATATATTAGCATCTGTAGGGTTAGATTAGGCTAAATTATGCTGTAGTAACAAACAGCCTTAAATTTCAGTGGCAAAATAAATAAATATCAAAGGCTTATATTTTCTTACCTTGTGTGCATCAGAGGTTGGCATGAGTTCTGTGGTCAGCATAATCACGCTGGGACACAGGCTGATGGGAAATGCGCCATCTTGAATTTTGCCAATTGACATGGCAAAGAGCAGAGAGAGAACTGTATAAAGTATCTATAAGCAATTTAGATAGTTGACCTGAAAATGAAACATGAAACTTCTACTGCTGATCCATTGGCTAAAGCCATTCACATGATCCTCATCTATTCCCAAGGGAACAGAAAAGATAATCCTTAAGTTACCTCAGAGAGTAAAAAATGGAAATATTTGGTGGATAGCACTAATGACTACCACATTGCCTTTTTGGTTAACCTCATCCCTTCCTCCCTCCCTCTCTCCCTTTCTCCTTCCCTTCCTCCCTCCCTTCCTTTCTTCCCTCCCTCCTTCCTGCCTTGTTTCCTTTCTTTCTTTCTGGAGAATGTAGTATGGTAAAAGTATAAACATTGAAGCCAAGCAAAATCTCATCTGTTTCTTATCAGCTATGTGGGCAAGTTTAAGCACAACTCTTAAACCTCTTGTCAGTCACCTTATCTAAAATAAAGGTGTTTGCTGTGAAGATTAAATGAAGTAAACCACATAAAATCTCTAAGCACAGAGTAGAAACTTAACAAATACCTGTTTCCTTCCTCAACTCATCATGTTCTTTTTTCCCCTTCTTCCTCATTTTCCAAATTTTTCTTCAAGAAAAGGGTGAAGGTTTTAGGGCTAGGTTTCTAGAAAGACAAACCGTGTCTGCTTTTATAATATCCTCCACCTCCATCCTTGTTCTCAAATGGTATGCAAATGGAAGCCAGAGTCAAGCCTGATTACCTGAGAGTCTCTCGAGGTCATCTCAAGGTGATGGGAGTAGCTAAGGAAATGCTAAGCCAAGTAGTTGGTACGACAGCTCCAGAGAATCCTCTCCCTGGGAGACTCCTCTGAATCACTGTTCTCTCCATGGAGGGAGTGTGGCATCCAGCAGGGCCAGTGCTCTACAGACTTGAACATGCCACTGAGGTACCAATGGATCCTATAAAATGTGTCTGATTCTGCCCTTCTAGGTTGGGGCCCAGGAATCTAATGAACTTCTTTCCAGATGCTGCTACTGATATTCAGGCCACACAGAGCACAGAGTCCTAGAAGAATGAAATGAGGATTTAGGGCCTGTGTCCCTAAATTAGAATGCTAGATCTACTACTTGTGCAAGATGATGCTTGGGCAAAAACAGTTCTTTAAAACTTAATTTCCTTGTGTATAAAACAGGCAACTTCATAGTGTGGTTGTGAAGCTTCCATGAGTTTATTAGTCAACGTTCCATCATTGTGGCAGAATACCAGAGGAAAACAACTTAAAGGAGGAAAAGCTTGTTTTGGCTCATGACTTCAGAGGTATTAGTCTACTGGCTCCATCACTTTGGGCCTGAGGCAAGGCAGAACATCATGGTGGCCTGGGGTATGAAGAGGAGGAGGCAGCTTACCTCACCGAGGTCAGGAAGCAACAAGAAAGAAAGAGTCAAGGAAAAGCTATATTCTTCGAAAGAATTCCCCCAGCACTTCAACAAGGCCCACTTCCTAAAAGCAGATTCAGCTCTGAACTTTACGGATTAACCCACTGGCAAGGTTAGAGTCCTCAGAATTCAGTCACTTCTCTAGACCCCATCTCTGAATATTGCTGTACTGGGGATCAAGTTTTCAATATACCAGTCTTTGGGGGACACTTTACATTTAAAATTATAATGAAAGCAATTTGGATTATTGGTTGTTATTGGTGTCTCTTCATGTTTTAAAGTCGGGGTTCTCTTTAAACCCGAGGTGATTCTCTGCTCAGTCTTGTTTTGCATTGTCTTATACACCAGATGTTCCCTCCCATATGCTGTGGTAGGCACAACTCGGCTTCCAGAGACATTTACCTTGCACAATTGACAGGTATCACAGACATGTGAGAGGAGATTGCTAAATCTAGACCACATCCATGTACATATGGGCAGATATGACGGGACAGGCATGACGGGACTGGATGTGTGGTTGGTAGTGGTGGCCTTGAAGTGGAAGCAAGTCGATATAAATGGTAGCAGCAAAGGCATCTTAACCAAATAGAACCTTTTAAACCAGGCCATGAGCAGTGAGACCCTACTTTTTCTTATGGGATGCGGTGATAAAGAAATTACATAGTTATTTGAGAGGAACATAAATAAAGATTAATAGGTTAATGAGTTATTTTCCTTTCATTACTACACTATTGTACTTTATTATAATTGCTTTGCACTCATTTAATTAAATTTGAACTGGGGCCAACACAAGATAATTTGTTTTCCCTGTACTGAACAATGAGTATGCAGATTGGATGTACTGAAGCAGTAATCAGCCCTCTGTTTGTAACACTTTTCTACTCTGAGTAGACATTATAATTGATAATTTGATTGTTGCAGCACTCTGTGCAATATATTTTAAAGCAACATTAACATAATGGAAATTATGTTGTGAGCTTAATCTCAGCTTTTCACTGAGAGGCTATCTGGCTCCTCAGTATAAACCAGCTAGGGTCTGACAGCAGCAGGTCTCTATCTCTCTCATTCTTTCTTTTTATCTCTCCCATTTTTCTTCCTTCCTTTCTTTACTTTCTTGTTTCTTCTTTCTCTGTTCGTCTCTTCCATCTTTCACCTGATTCTTCCCTCCACTGCTTCGTTTCTTTCCTTCCTCTCTCCCTCTTTCTTTCATTTATTTCCTCCCCCCATAAATACATTCACTTTCTTTTCTTGCCTAGATCTTTAGCTCTGTAAAAGAAGGCAGAAAGGATGAAATAGGAATGTTGCCCATAACCATTTCAGCTGCATTTCCTGCTTTTGTGACTTGTTCACATCCAGGACATTCAGGAAAAACAAGCAAGAGCCTCTCCCACAAATGACTAAATGAGAAATTATTCAAGGTGGATGGCATGGCAGCGAGTGCTACTCTTTGTGCTGTTGGTCAACATATTGGATTGATTCATGAGGGGATCGTGTGGTCTTTCCTCAAATGCTTGAAGATGACGAAAAAGTCACTGGCATTTCCTTTGTCTATAGTGCATTCTTCATTGGAGCTACAAATACTTTCTTGAAAAGATGTGGCCTTTATTCTTATGAATACATTCTGGTACTCTTTAGTGCAAGGGCTTCTTGTCTTACAATGGAAACTAGGTGTGACATTCTGTTTAATAATCCCAGGCCAGAAATCTTGGGCACAAGTAAGAAAACCTTGAGTCCACGTGACTTTTGTTGAATTTTCATAACTCTGTAAATATTTGTTTCTGTGTTTATTTTGGGAGGAAAAACACCTGTGAGTGGTTGAAAATGACTCTTTTGGGAGAGCTGAAAGAGGAGAGTCTAAGTGTTCTTTGTCTTCTACTAAGCTATCTAGGCCCTGAGTTTGTTTCTCGGGAGAAAAATCTGTCCTTTTATCTCTTTGTTCTTTCCAAGACCTGTACACCCACCCTCTAGACTGCTGCTATGCTTTCAAACTACCTGCCTGTATGAAGGGAAAATCCACCATGGAAGCATGTTCTTTAGAAGGGGAGCAGCATTTTGGAGAAGATGAATTTTTTTTATAACATATTAATGTTCTCTAGTGAACACTTGAGTACCATAGCTGGCTCTGTTTTATTTTTCCTCATCTCTTTCTATATTTTTATTTTTCATGGAAAATTAGGCTAGAAATTATTTATACACCAATTACCCAATCCAGAAGTAACTCTTCTGAGTTTTATCTTTTAGCTCACTGTTTTCCTTATTTATTTGAAAAGAGTGTGTTTTAGTTTCCCTTATTGTCATGAGATTGACTTCTGTCAACTGGATCTACTGTTTTAATTATTACTTTTATTTCTACAGATAAATGGTCCAGAGAGTTATGTGTTTTTACTTTTTACCCTCTGTTAAAAAAGAAAACAGAAAGAAAATTCCAATTTTCCTGGATGGTGTGTGTTTCCTCTTGTTCACAGATGTTGTGTTTAAATCGAGAAGCCCACAGCTGGGATGCGGTCATAGCCTAGAGACACAATTCCAGATTCTTACATCAGCCCAACCATGACTTCCTGCCTCCAGGGACAGTGCGAGGGAAGCCAGCTCCTAAACAAGGACTTGAGGTAAGTTAGAGGAGCATGGGGATCAGGTATGCAGGCACACACAGTTACTACTGAGGAAATCAGGTAAGAGGCCTCTCTCTTAGTCCCAACCGTGGACCCTTGGAACTTGAGCCTAAATAGACATCCTCACTTAGGATATTCAGCCTGGTATATCATTGACAGCCTGTCATAATTTGTTTTCCCCTATAGCATACCCTAAAGTAAAGGTTCAAGTGCAAGATGCTTATATGGAGATGATTCCAGGAAACCCCAGGAAGAGAGTGGAGATTGGGACAAGGCAGAGATATAGCCAGTTAATGATGTCTTATTGAGCAGTGGGTAATTGAGGTTTAAGCCTACTAGGGAACTCCAAGAACCACTGAAAGTGTGCACACCTGGAGTTATTGCATTGAGATGTAAGGGAGACAGGGTATTTGTACAGCAGTTGCCATCAATCACTGGTTGAGGACTGCCCTGGAGGGAACATTAATTCTTCAGGATCCACTATACTGAACACAGTGCAGACTGTGGATGTCAGAGTGGTGAGATACAGAGCCACCAGAAATTGGAAGTTGGATCACTACAGACATCAATGGTAGTGGCCTAGCTGGATCACTGCTTAGCTACCATGCTACAGCTGGGGCCTGGCAAAATCTACTGCAGCTTTACTATGAAAAATCTCATTTGAATCTACTTTGTCTTTCTTCCTGACTATAAGTTCCATAAAGGGTAAGGGCTAAGCTGAACACATCAGCTTGTGTTCCATGATTCTTGCTTATGGAACAATTATTTCATCACCCAAGCGGCACTGGTATTGTGTCAAGCAAATTACAGATGTTATCTCGGTCAGTTTTCACAACATCGCTAAGAGGTAGGTACCATTATAATTTCCATCTTTCATCTTAAGTGACTTGTAGAAGTGATAATCAGGATATCCAAATCCAGGCAGCCTCAAACACATCTTGCTTGGGTTTCTGGTTAGAATTAGAATCTGGAGGCTCTAGACAGACCCTCCCCTCCTCAGGTAAAGGAGTTGTTTTTTTTTTTTAAATTAAATAATCTTCATATGTCTTGTCCTGGAGTAAGTACTTTACATTCCTTATTTGGTCTTGGTTTTAATTTTCTCTTTGAGGCTAAGTGGTGAATGTTACTCTTATTCTGGAGATAAAGAAAGTGAAGTTCATGGAGATTAAACCACACAGCTCATGAGTGGCTCTCTCCAAATGCTGACTGCTCTTGACACCAGTCACCAAAGTCATGCCTCTGAGATGGGATAATTTCTACCTCTTCTATGGATCTCCATAGAAGGATGTGGGTAAATAATCAGGAAATAAGGAATGTTGTATCCTTGACTCAACCTAGAGATAACAGGTGAACCAAGGGTAGTCAAACATTGAGGGACATAATGAACCTCCCCTTACTTCTATCACAAACCTGGTACATTCAGGTGAAGTAGTTGTTGCTTTTTAAAACAACCTTAGATAATATCCAAACATCTTCACAACTTACTTCCTCTTCACCTGGTGCAGTGGCTGGGACACTGGGGTGGAGCCAAACTCTGTCATGTTTTCAAAAGCCACTCCTCTAACTCTGTTTTGAAAACTTGACCCTTCACATCAGAGAAAAACAATATGGAACCACCATGCCCTGCAAATCGGAGCTTTGGAGTTTAGAAGTGGCATGTATTTTACTCCATGTTTGCAGGCAACAGTTAAACTGAGAGTGTACCATAATTACTAATGGTACTGGAACAAGTAAGGGAAAAGGATGCCTATTTATGTCCCTGGAAAGGCATGCTGGTGCCAATTGGAAATCTTCCTCTCTCTTCTCCTTTTTCTTTACTAGTTCTCTTCTCCCCTTTGTCTTTTGTTTCTTGCTTCTTCCATTTCTTTTGCAAAAAAACAAGTCCAGCGTGGTAGACTCTAGGGACTTGACTAAGTGAGCAAAGAGTGACGAACACTGATTGCTTTTGAGCACTGAGCTTTAGCTGTCACCACCCAAGCAGCCTTCTGCTTTCTACTCTCGGTATTTCAGGCCCAACCTGCAACACAGGGCAGATGCACTAGATTATGGTTTCAGACCTTTAAAAAGGAAAATAGAACTTGTCCTATGCAGTATTTACCAATATTTTTGATCTTGTATTTTTAAAATAGCAGATTTTACATTTTAAGAAAATCAAGATTAGTGGCATTTTCTTGAAAAATCAGTTCTGGACCCTTTGGACACATATTCTTTCATGGAAAATGTCTATTGGCGCTGAGCTCTGCCCCTTCAAGCACAGGTATGTGTTCTCCACCCAATGCCTACTTAGTTTGTCCTATTATCACCTTGTATTGGGGTTTGGAAGAAGTCAGAGAAATAACTCCAAGGGGAATCTCAAAAGCTCCAAAAATTGCATGTGGTTAAGAGGAATCACATGCCTGTGCTTTTGCTGTGTGAGCAAGACCACAGTGTAATAGAAAGTCAGCAATAACCTGGGATGAACCTTCAATCATTGCAGAAATAATGTGCCCTTCAAATGCAGTCTTCAAGATGCCTTCACAAGAGGGGCTCACTGGAGCCTCCAAACAGGAGAGGCACAGCTGCTGGATACCACTTTCCTCACTGCAAAGCAAGGAGCCTGCAGGGCTGTGAGGTATCATAGCATGCCCGATGTGGCCAGGCTGCTGAATGTGGAAGCCGAGCTTCAGTGTCAGGTTTGTTCTTCTTAGCCAGGTGCTCCTTCCCCTCCACAAGGAAGTCTTTCCACGCCAGTGTGAGTGCTGCCTCCTGACTCCCCATTGCCACACCACTAGGCTCCTCTACAGCTTGGTCAGGTGTTCAGGGTAGCAGTTGCTACTAAGCTCATTTCAACAGATGAGGAAACTGTGGCAATGAAGTCACTGACTTAAGTGCAGAAAAAGCAGTTTTCATGTGATATAATCTGAGTGAAAATAGAAAAATCAATCTCCCAGGCTGGGGGTTTAGCTCAGTGGTTCCATCACCTGCCTTGCAAGTGCAAGGTCCTAAATTCAATCCCCAGCACCAAAAACAAAAACAAAAAAGAAAATCAATCTTTCTCTCTCTCCTTTCTCTGCTTCCCCCTCTCCTTCTCTCCCTCTCTTTCTCTCTCTAAAAAGAAAAAAACTAGTTGAAACAACTCTAACACACTTCCTCCTCCTTTTTAAGGGAGCAAGGGGAATAAGGAAAGAATACGGAACATCAACTTTGCTCATTTTGAACATTGTTCAGGATTTTCTCTTTTTCTCCTACCCTCCCTTCTTTCTTTCTTTTTATATGGAAACAAAGAATTATCTAAGTGAATCTCACCAACACACATAATGGGCAAAGTAGAATGATGGGTCTTGCCTTCCAGGTTAGGGACCTGGAATCAACAGTGGACCTAACAGGTCCATTCTCACGCAAAGGTTTAGAAAAGCAAGGATGAGCACAATACCTTGATCACAGGAGCTTTCCATGTGAGGCAGGCTTAGTCTCTGGAAAGAATCATTGCTTTGGTTTGGGGAATACCTACAGTATGTCAGGTATCTGCTGAGTACATTATACATAAAATCTCATGAATCCATGAAGCATTCCTACAATAGTCTGTTACTATCTCCATTTCACCAGTGAGGGTCGAGCATGCTGAGAGTGCTGCCCAAGGTTACCTCACAAGCTTAAGTAAATCTGAAGCCCAAATCCTCTCTCTCATGCTGATTCTGCAAAAGAAAAACAAAGGCCCATAACTCCCCCTTCTCAATCTCTACCCCACTTCAGTGATCCAGGGAATCAGGACATTTCATCAATCCCTTTATCTTTTATGACCCTTCCTGGGTGCTTAGGGGTTTCCTACATATTCTCTGGGACTGTCTGAAGGCCAAGTATTGTTTGAGCCATTTTGCATCAGTGAAGCTTCAACAATATAAAAAGAAACCCAGATGCTAGCAAATCAGACACTGGACTCAGCTCTTGCTTCTTTGTGAATTTAAGGCCTTACTTTTAATTTCCCCTTTGAAGGGAGTGAAGCTGGTTTAAACAGAGTAACAAACATCAAGGAAGTGAAAAGCTCATGCCATACCCTTGACGTGGTGTACTAGGGAAGAAGAAGTAAATATTAACCAGAAAGTAAATACGGAAACATCAGAAAGGCGGTACATTGGGACAAAAAGCAAGTGAAGCTGGATAATAGGAGCTCACCTATGGGCTTGGAAGTCAGCCAAGGCTTGGGTTCAAATCCTTCTGATCCTAGTAGCTGCATTGTATTAGGCACATTGCTTCAACTTCCTTAGCCTTAATTTTCTCTCTAAAGCTGGGATGATCATATATTCCTTTGAGTCTTATTATACAGATTAAATGATACAGTGTGCAGAACACATTCTGAAGAATACTGGTATTATTATGGGCTCAATCTATGAATATATATATATAT